GAGTGTGGGCGGGGCTTCACGCAGCAGTCAGCCCTCGTCCTGCACCGAAGAACACACACCGGGGAGAAGCCCTACGCGTGCTGGGAGTGTGGGCGGGGCTTTACACAACAGGGGGCCCTTAGGAGACACAGGAGGAAGCACACCGGGGAGAAGCCCTACGCGTGCGGGGAGTGTGGGCGGGGCTTTACACAACAGGGGGCCCTTAGGAGACACAGGAGGACGCACACCGGGGAGAAGCCCTACGCGTGCGGGGAGTGTGGGCGGGGCTTTGGCCGTCAATCCAGCCTCCTCAGGCACCGGAGGACACACAGGAGGGAAGCCCTACGGTCCCAGGAAGAGTAAGTCCTGCGCAGTATGACCTCGCCCCAGCGGGCACAGAGAAGCAAGTGCACCCTACACACCCGCGCCCAGCTGAGGACTCCAGAGGACACTCCTGACCCTCCCTGTGCCCCGAGTGTAAAGGGACCGCCGTTTGCCCATTCAGCAGCTCCTCCGGGGTCGCCAGAGATGAGGCGGGGTAGCAGGGGATGGCTCCCCACGTGGTCAGGGTTTTCATTTGGGTTTCTTCCCCACAGCGATTCCGTTTTTGATATGTTTTTGTTCTCTGTTCCAATAAACACTTTCTGCCTCCGAACCTGAAGCCCAAGCCGTGGTCTTCATTGCTCCCTAGCCGCGGGAGGCAGCGGGGTCCTGGAGGGGCTCGGGACACTCGCAGGAAATCCCCTGCCCCCAAGTGACCGGGGCCTGCCTGGGGTCACTCTGCTTCAGTGACTGCTGGATCGGTTCTGGGGGCCTGAGAGCAGTGTGGGCTTTGGGGCCGCCGTGGCTCTGGGAAGGAGACTTCCCGTTCTCCCGGGAGTGAGCGTCTCCCCCCTCTGGTGCCACCTCTTCCTGAGGTTGCTCCTGGTCCTCTTATGCTGTCACCCAACCCCATAGGATTGGCAGTGAGAGGCAGATAGGACTGTGTGTGTATGTGTGTGTGTGTGCACGCACACGTCGTGCACGTCGCAAGAGCATGTGGGATGCGGTGGCAATGAGCGACTCTGTTGGTTGCCCGAGGGCTGTGCTGGGGTCCGTTGCTGTGTCAGTGGTTCTACCCGGGGAGAAACGGCAGCAGGAATGACGAAAGCGTAGACAAGAATCCTGTAAAGGGTTAACAGTTTTGTGCCTTAACTGTGGAAAATTATAAAAAAAAAAAAAAAAAAAAAAAAAAAAACCCTTGTGCTTCCTGTTATCTGCTCTAAGAAATGTGTTCTCCCTCTCGGCTCAAGGCTGTTCAACAATAAATAACTGTTTCTTGTCTAGACAGCAAGCTGACACAAACTCCCTCCCCAGCCATCTCCTCTAACATGGTCAGCTTAAGATGTACCTTGTAAAAATATGCACTTATCACTAAGCTGTGAAAGACCTTTTAGTTATGAACAGTCTGCAGCTGTGTCACATGAATGCAGTTTCTGTTGTTCTGTCCTAGATAACAAGTGTGCTTACCAAGCTGGATGCGATTTCTGTTATAAACACCCCCGTGCTACCTACGTTCAGGCCGACCAGCCTTCTCCTGCGAGAGAAGCGGCTGACGGGCCTGAGCTCAGTAAATAAGGGCTCCATTCAAATCTCTAGCTGGCTGATCTGGTTCCTGTGCAGAGTGACCCCTAAAGAGCTCCTTCCCTGCAAACCCCGAACTTGTGCATGTTTGCTTTGGGGCACAAACAGAGGCCAGAAATAGTAGTTCGGGGCTCCCGGTCTCGGGCAGGTGACCCCACGCCGAGGCCGGGCAGCTCCTCCCACCCCACCCCCAGGCTCGGGAACTGGCTCTCCAGCGCAGGGGCGCCGCACCCCGCTTCCGGCTGCTCCTCTGCGGGGCTGCGCTGTCCTGGACGGCGGCTGCGGGTCGCTGCGCCCGCAGAGAGGGGCTGGGGAGCCGGACGGGGCTCTGCACCTCGTGCTGCCGAGACACCCCCAGCGCGGAGCCCCCAGATGACGCCTCCCGATGCCGAGCGCCGAGTCCCGAGTGACCCCAGGGATCCAGGGAGATCCCCAGGCCCGGGCCCCCCGGGCTGCGGTCACATGGGGGTGACCAGACGCCACCTAAGTGCGGAGGGTGTGATCCGACTCGGGCGAACGTGCAAACGCCGCCGGGGAGCGCTGGGAGTGTGGCCAGGCGTCGCGTGTCACCCGCCTGGGTGACGTCTGCACAGACCCTGGCGTGGCCGTGGGGCGCTTTTGCCGCCCGGGGTTCGCAGGTCCCGCACCCATGAAGTCCCCTAGAACCCGCGAGGCTGGAGGAGGGGACCCGGCGCCCTCCTTGCAGACTCAGAACACAGCCACAGGTCCTTCCCCCTCCGAGCAACACCGGGGCTGGAAGTGAGGGGCTCTCGAGACCCCAAGAGGCGCGTGCGCAGAAGCAGCTGCGGACCGGAGGACCGCAGAGGCGGCCGCAGGTGGCACGCGAGGCCGAATGTGTACGGAGAGGGCCGAGCGGCGACGGAAAGAGCCGAACGGGGCCGAGCGCCCTCGGGATGCCCGGGCGTGCGAGTGCGGAGCCGGGTGCGTTCCGAGAGCGACCAGAGCCCGGAAAGGGCCGAAGGCAGGCGGAGAGGGCCGAGTGGCCACGGAAAGAGCCGAGGGGAGCAGGGGTGCGGAGCGCGGAGAAGCAGGGGACCCCGAGGGCGGGCCGGGTCGAGGTGACTTTCCGGGAGGCCCTCTACCCCTCCCCTCCCTCCCCCTCCCCCCTC